TTTTGGGGAGATTCACCCTGGTTTTGGGGAGACTCACCCCATTTTTGGGGAGATTCACCCCATTTCGGGGCGACCAACCCCATTTCGGGGTGATTCACCCTGGTTTTGGGGAGATTCGCCCCATTTTGGGGCAACTGACCCCATTTCGGGGAGATGCACCCTGGTTTTGGGGAGATTCACCCTGGTTTTGGGGAGACTCACCCCATTTTTGGGGAGATCCACCCCATTTCGGGGCGACCGACCCCATTTCGGGGCGATTCGCCCAGCTTTTGGAGAGATTCACCCTGGTTTTGGGGAGACTCACCCCATTTTTGGGGAGATCCACCCCATTTCAGGGCAACCGACCCCATTTCGGGGCGATTCGCCCTGCTTTTGGGGAGATTCACCCTAGTTTTGGGGAGACTCACCCCATTTTTGGGGCGACCGACCCCCTTTCGGGGCGATTCGCCCTGGTTTTGGACAGACTCACCCCATTTTTGGGGAGATTCACTCCATTTCAGGGCAACCGACCCCATTTCGGGGCGATTCGCCCTGCTTTTGGGGAGATTCACCCTGGCTTTGGAGAGACTCACCCCATTTTTGGGGAGATTCACTCCATTTTGGGGCGACCGACCCTATTTCGGGGCAACCAACCCTATTTCGGGGCAATTCGCCCTGGTTTTGGGGAGATTCACCCCATTTTGGGGAGATTCACTCCATTTCAGGGCGATGCACGCTGGTTTTGGGGAGATTGGGGCGACCGACCCTATTTCGGGGCAACCAACCCTATTTCGGGGCAATTCGCCCTGGTTTTGGGGAGATTCACCCCATTTTGGGGAGATTCACCCCATTTCAGGGCGATACACGCTGGTTTTGGGGAGATTCACCCCATTTTGGGGAGATTCACCCCAGTTTTGGGGGGATTCACCCCATTTTGGGGGAGATTCACCCCATTTTTGGGGGAGATTCACCCCATTTTGGGGCGACTCACCATGACCTCCTCTTCCTCTCTCCGCCGCCTCGGGGCTCAACCGAAGACGCCGCCGACCTCCAGCAGCCCTCAAGCTTTCCCTCTGCGGGGAAGGGGCTCCCCCCCCCAATTAAAATTAAAAAATTAAACTTCTTTACCCCGG